TCTCATCATCCCCAGCCAGCATGAGCTATTGCACCTGGCTGGGTGCTTCCTCCAGACCAGCAGTCCTGGAGAGATTGGAGCAATGTCACATTTTACTAACTGTTGGTAATGCTGCTGGGAATTTAAGTCCAATGGCATCTAGAGGACACCAGATTGGAGAAGATTACAATATCCTATGAGAAATCACTGACTTTTTACTGTGTGACATGGTTTCTTCATCTCCCATGATAACCGAGTATGTCCATCAAATTACTTTACTCATCATGTAGCTGCTGGTGCTGATTCCCATTATTATTAGCAATATAGATATCAAAAAAATGAAATGTTAAGTCATTGAAAGTTGTTACTTCAGATGACACACAGAGAGAAATCTTGCTTGGTTGAATAATAAATTCAGCATTTCTCCCCAAATTAAAGTAATATATATTAATTTATCTCACAACCAGATACCCAAAATAAAACTAAAGAATTAGTTCACAAAATTCAATAATGATAATAATAACAGCAGCAGCAGAAATAATCTCTCACTATGAAGAGGTAAAAAGTGTCCATAGGTTTCTATCTTCCTTTATATCAGAAGTAGTTCTGTTTTGCTCAGTGGGATTTAATTCCAGATAAGAGTAACTGCCTAAGAGTTGCAGTTTAACCTTGAAAGATAGCAAAGAGGTTGGCATAAAAGTTTGGAAAGCTTTAGGTTATGAAAGATAATAAACCCAATTCAAAAACATTATTCAATGAAACCTTTCACATTTTTCCCAAGTAATAACACTAGGATACTTTTAAATCAGGATTTTCTACTTGGCTTTTTCTTATTACACATTTGGAATAAGTAATTGTATTTTAAGAAAAGTTTTATTTTCTAACAAATTTCTTTGCTTAGATTGCCTATTGTGTAATAGCTCCAGTGATTTGCATGAAAACCCAGTTCCCTTCTTTCTATCGAATGGTGCCCAATGAAGAATATCAGTACAAAGGGATTGTCCAGCTGCTCTTGAGTTTCCAATGGACATGGATTGGGATCATTGTATCAGACGATGATGATGGAGAAAAATTTCTGCAGACCATGATGCCAATGCTCACTCAGCATGGAATCTGTACAGCCCACATAGAAAAGGCAGTAACTATTTCTCAAAATATAGAGGCAATGCAATCACCATATGCCATCCAGTCCAAGGCCACTTCACTAACCAACTCAAAAGTCAAAGTATTTGTTGTAAATGCAGAGCCTCAGACCACTACATGGCTGATGTGGTTTGCATATTTCTATTCAGTACTGGAAGATATAACAGAGGCATCAATAGGCAAAGTATGGATTATGACAGCCCAATGGGATTTCTCATTGGAGTCATTGCAGAGGCATTTTGATATAAGGACATTTGATGGCACATTATCTTTTGCAATTCACACAAATGAAGTGCTAGGATTTAGAGAATTCATTCAAACATTACATCCTAGCACAGCAAAAGGAGATGGGTTCATCAGAATTTTCTGGGAAAGGGCATTCAGCTGCTTATTATCTAAAGAGAACAAGGAAAATACTGATCATTGTACTGGTGGAGAGAAGCTGGAAAACCTCCCTGGGACTTTTTTTGAAATGGACATGACCGGTAAAAGCTACAGCATCTACAATGCAGTCTATGCCATAGCATATGCTATACGTAAGATGTTCTCACTGAGATCCAAACACAGAACAATGGTGGACAAATGTAGAATGAGTCTTCCAAATTGTCAATCCTGGCAGGTAATGTTTCACATGAAGTCATTCTTCTGTCATGGCCAGGCTGATATGTGATGCCCTTTGGTTAACTGAGTATAGTAAGAGAAGGAACTCTTAACAAAATATGCCACATCTCTTTCTTTAAAAACTTGGTTTTTCTCATGTTCTGATGCTTTCTCTTCTTCACTAATTGAGGAGCAGTGAGATCATGTAAATCCATAAATCATATATACGTCCCATACTTTTTCTTTGTATGGTCCAGTTGGAAGTAGACAGTGGATCTGCTTAATTTGTATAATTCCAGTTCCTTTCCACCAATATTCAAAGTCCACTGTTGATAGACTCATGACTTCAGCTACTTTCCAAACAAATGTCACCACTGTAGGAGCTATAATTCCATTACAGAATCTACATGACATTACTGTCATCAGAATAAGAGAGTGTATCCACCCCATCCATATATGCTCCAGATTTACCCTTTCTGGGTGAAATGCAATGTTAAAAGAAACACAATTCCCAGCCCAAATTAGCCAATTTTCAACACCTATTTACAGTAGTAAGCCTTTGATTAGAAGCATGTGAAGAACTTGAAAAAAATCAAATATCCTTACAGAAGGATGCAGCTACTCACAAAAACCAAGTACAACAGAGGATCTGCTGCAGGAAGAAACATAACTCTGTGCTTAATTAATGGTAATATCTCTCTCATTTGTGTTTGACTTTTTCAATGTAGCTTCACTCTTTCCTAAGCAAAATCACATTTAACAACAGTGCTGGGGATACCATCACGTTTAACGAAAGTGGTGAATTAACTGCTGGCTTTGACATTATAAACTGGGTTATTTCCCCAAACCAATCTTTCTTAAAAGTAAAAGTGGGAAGGATGGATCCACAATTGTCACAAGAGCAAGAGTTCATTCTGGATGAAAAGGCCATCAGATGGGACAGCACGTTCAATCAGGTGGGATCTGACTGTATAGTATAGTACTGTATATATGTATTGTCAGGGACAGGGCAGAGGAGGAATAGTGGAGACCGCCTCCCCAGCCTGAACCTTCCAGAGAAGAAGAAGACAGTTCAGAATTACAACCGGGGTTTGAGGGAGATCACAGCTCAGAGGCAGATGAGGGGGAAAGCTGGGAAATAATGGGAGAGGAGGAGGAAGAGGAAGAAGAAGAAGAAGAAGGGGAGGAAGCACCAGGGAGGTGGCGCAGCTGACAGACACAGTGTCTTTAGAAAGCATTCCAGAATCCCCCCTCCCAAAACTCTGTGAGCCTTGAAAGTAGGAGAGCAAAGAGCTCAAAGGCAGAGGGCACTTTTCAGCACCCATGGTGATGACGCATGAGGAAGTAGGAGAGACGGAGGGTTAGGGTGGAGACTCACTTGGGACAGCACCATTATTCCAAGAGCTGCATTCTCAAGCCTCTCTCTGTAAATATTGTATAAAAAGCAGGTGGGAAGGACTTTCCCTTGCCTTATCCGTTCCTACCAATCTGCCGTGGGGGTTGGTTCCTCTGCTGCCTGATAGGTATAGCAGCACACATACACTCAATTAGCAATACGTACATACAAATACATTCAATTAATTCTCATATTCAAAGCTAAAAGGAAATCAATATGAAACTCTCTCTCTCTCTCTCTCTCTCTCTCTCTCTCTCTCTCTCACCCACCCACCCACACACACACAACACCCACACACACACACCATCTTTTTGCTCATAACTGTACACAGTATTAGTCTGGATTTCAAAAACAAACAATGCATGGGCGTGGCAAACTTAAGAGCATGCTCAGTCTAATTTGACAGTCTAATGTGAACAAATGTGATCAGGTGGAAACTGCCGAATTATGCTTGTATTCAGTGCTAGCCCTACTTAGAATAGGTCCACTGAAGTTAATGTACATTGCTAACTTAGGTTCCTTAATTTCAATGAGTCTACTTAGAGTCTGACTAGCACTAGATGCAACCCTATGTGTACAGATCCATTTAAAACAGATCCACCCACCCCCATTTTTTTATGGATAGGTGCTGCCTCTTGCTGTGTGTAATGACAATTGTCATCCAGGTTACAGCAAAAAGAAGAAGGAAGGAAAGCAATTTTGTTGCTACGATTGTGCCCCATGCCCAGAGGGGAAGATTTCAGACCAGAAGGGTAGGACATATAATTTGCAGCATTAAGATATAAGCAATTTAAAATACTTTTCATTGGTTTTGGTTTATTATCAATTGAGTTCTCTAAATTAGGTCTGGGATAGTGACAAGCCACCCATGATGTATGCTCCTAACATGCTGCAGACATATAGCCCTGAATACGTATATTTAATTAATAAAAAAACGTTATCTTCCTTCTGGCAAAGAAAATATTTATTAAGGTATGACAGTTTATGTCCCTAAAATTCCACATGACATAAATAAAATACCAGTAAATATACTGGTATAATCTTGATACGTACTGGTAAACACCATCTAACTGCTTTTGGTAATTGATGTAGCTGTTCATAGCCCCCGGTCCTCTTCATGGCCATGTTTTGTAACTTCTGGCTGAGGCTGATCCATCTTGTACAAATAATGTATGTTTTGCCTTGCCTTGTTATGCCTTGAATATCACTGAAATGTAAAATTCCCTGCTGGAAGGCTGCAGAGCTCAGCAAGCTTATCAACCTTCTCTCTGGTATCTGAACAAGGTATCTCGACAAATCCGGTATTTAGAGAGATATAGTATCAAATCAGCTCACCATTTCAGAACCCCACTTTCACGGGGTCATCGGCTACCCTGCAAATGTCATTTTTGCACTGGGAGGACAAATATTATCTATTTTATTGGGGCTATCTTTAATGTACGAGGAAACTCCCAGTCCCTGAAAATAGGTAAAATTCGTACTCACCCAAAAAATACTGCTGATATTCGGCTTTAATTTTGCCACACACTCCACTCCCTGAACATGTTGAAAAAGTCTAGACCAAATATTACAGTCCAGAATTATTATAAATCCATAGAGAGTTGTTTTATTATGGTGAGATTAAGCATCAACCTGAGCTCTACTTGGCATATGAGGGGAAAACTAGATGGCTAGCAGTGACTGAAACCCACATATTCCACCAAAGTATCATTTAAATTATATCAATAATCAAAGGGAGAGCTTTGAAATTTAAAAAAGCAATTTATGATAAATAGAATCATAGAGTTGGAAGTGACTTGGTTCATGCCAAATCATAGAATCGCAGAGTCGGAAGGGAACACAAGGATCATCTAGTACAAACCCCAGCAATGCAGGAACATTTTTCCTAACATGGGGCTTGAACCCACAACACTGAGATTAAGTCTCAGGCTCTACCGACTGAGCTACCCCTCCCCCAACTCTCTGGAAAATCAAGGTTTTTAAATGCATGGGGAGGCTACGCATGTGCCCACTGTAAGGAGTTGCCCTCAACACATGGAGGGCGATAGGGATATCCACCCTCCACTTCCTCTGCCACACAAAGTTACAGTAATCATTGGCATACATCATTGGCATAAACCTCTGAACAGAGCTGTGGTTTCAAATTAAAGCAATATATGTACAGAACGCAAAGCATTAGAGACAGATCTATTAACTTAATTGGACAGAGAGTGCAAATATTTAAAAAAAGAAAAGTGATGATATGCTGCAGGGATAGACACATAAACTTCTTCTTCTTCTTTATTTCCAGACATGGATGAATGTTCAAAATGCCCAGAAGGTCAGTATCCAAACAGGAACAAAGATCAGTGCCTTTCAAAGAGAGTCAACTTCCTCTCATTCACAGAAACTTTGGGGATCCTTTTAACTTTCTTAGCTCTGTCTTTTTCTCTGATCACAGCTTTGGTGTTTGGAGTCTTCGCTAAGCATCAGAACACTCCCATTGTCAAAGCCAACAATCGAAACCTCACCTACTCTCTGCTTATCTCACTATTACTCTGCTTCCTCTGCTCGTTATTATTCATTGGCCTGCCCCAAACAGTGAACTGCTGTTTAAGACAAACTGCTTTTGGTGTCATCTTCTCTGTAGCTGTTTCCTGCATATTGGCAAAAACGATAACTGTGATTCTGGCTTTTGTTGCCACCAAGCCAGGGAGCAGCATGAGAAAATGGGTGGGGAAAGGATTCACAAACTCTATCATTCTTGGCTGCTCCTTTATTCAAGCTACTATTTGTGCTGTGTGGCTATGCACTACCCCCCCATTTGCACATTTTGACATGCACTCCCTTACTCAAGAAATCGTAGTGGAATGCAATGAAGGTTCTGTCACTATGTTTTATTCTGTTCTGGGCTACCTGGGATTCTTGGCCATTGTTAGCTTCACTGTGGCTTTTCAGGCCAGGAAGTTGCCAGACAGCTTCAATGAAGCCAAGTTCATCACTTTCAGTATGTTGGTTTTCTGCAGTGTTTGGATGTCTTTTGTTCCTTCCTATTTAAGCACGAAAGGAAAATACATGGTGGCTGTGGAGATCTTCTCCATCTTGTCCTCCAGTGCTGGGTTACTAGGTTGTATCTTTGCTCCCAAATGCTACATAATTATCCTGAGGCCAGAACTGAACAAGAAGGAGCAGATAATAAAGAGATATTAGTAAAATAAAAATAAAACTAAGAGTATGGCATTTTTATTGATGTTTTTGAAATCATATGATCTATTGGTCAGTAGAGTCTTCTTAAGAGTGGTAGTACTGTTTGAATGAGAAGCAGTTTTTAAACTAGTCATTTCAGTACTGATAGTTATAATAATTTCCTGTACACCCATAAATAAAGAGTTGTGGGATGTGAAGCATGGTAGAAATATCACAGTGGGTGGGATAGCCTTTATATGGCTGGTTCCCACCCTCGTCTGATTGGCCAGCAGGCCCCAAGGGATCTTAACCCCACTTCTCTATTTGTATCATTTATAAGGGTGGTGGATTTTGTATAGAGGAGAAAAATTATTTAAAGTCTTCACAAATTTGTTTTGTAGAAAAGTCCTTTTCTCCTGTTTCAGTCTAATGGCAGCTATAGTTGCCTCTTTTCTTTTATTTCTTAATATTGTGGCTAAGAACTTAGACCCCTTTCCTCAAAATTCATACATTATTTGTTTTAAATACGACTTTATCAGGGTCTTTATTTCTGTGGTTTCCAATTATTTGCCTTATCTGCGATTTTTTTATATATAAAAAAACTTGATCCTATAACTCTTTGTATTTGTTCCAGAAGAGGAACTTCCTGCTGCAGTTGTGATTTTTGTGTCCTATGTGATCTTTTAAGTATGATTTTTCCCGTATAGATGCCCCTCTCATCACTGCCTTCAGTGCCCTCATCCCACAATGAGCCATAACTCCTTCTTTCCTTAAAAACACAAAAAACCCAAAAATGCACTAATGTTTTAGTCAGACTTTCTCTTATCGATTGATTGAGAATAGGAGTGAAATTCCATACTGGAGTAGCATATTCAGTTGGAATGAATTCAAATTTTGTGGAGACTGGGACATGATCTGTTATTTTGATCTCTCCTGTTTGTGTTCTTTTCACTGCATTTAAGAGTGGGGTGGATGTTAATAGGAAATCTACTCTGGATTGTGAACTGTACACCAGGGACCTATCTACATGAGCCGTGTCTCCTGGACTCACCTTCTGGCAAACATACCTCAGTTCCTACTTTTGTAGCATCCTTATTTGTTTCAGTTGGCCTCTACTATTCTTAAATTATCTTGCATTTCTACATTTCTTTTTCTATGTGGAATTAGCCAGGTCCTTACCTGTTAATTCTTTTAAGTTCCAACTAAGATCGCCATCGATTATTACATCATTTGAAGAGGATTTTCAGTTTTGCCAGAGTTTTTTTGCAGGAAGGGTTATTGGCTACTATTTGGTGAAGAAATAGATATAGTCCATTAATAATACTTTCAACAAAAATACATCTCCCATGTGCACCCCTCAATACTTTTGTTAACTGAAAATTATGTATTAACAAAGTCACCCTTCTAACTTTGAGGAACCACTTGCTATAAACCTTTGGCCAGCCCATGACTGCATAAACAATGTATTTTTTCCTGCCTGATTCATAAGTTTCTTGCAAAACAAAACAAAACAAATACCTCCAAACTATATGTGGATGTATTTTAAACAAATGCGCTTATTTATTTGATTTATACACCACCCTTCATCACAAGTTCTTCAGGCAGTTTACATGATACAAACACAACAAAGCGCAAACTATCAATTACAACTTTGGTAATAAGTGCAGTAACTCTGGGGGAGAGGGGGGAGAGGGGAGAGGGGAGAGAGGGAATGAAATTTGGCTTTTGTTGGTTCCTGCTGCTTCTAAAGACACCAGTCCATTTTCTGAGAGAAGGGGGAAATAATTCACCAGGCCTGGATCTACAGTGATATAAAAAAGAAAAATGCAGAGAGAGAGAGAGAGAGAGAGAGAGAGAGAGAGAGAGAGAGAGAGCTGTCACTGAAATTTTCCATTGACTGCTATACATTGTCCCACTGGTGCCACATTTTTATAACGTGTTTATAACATTATAACTCACCAGTGTAGATTGGTCCAAGGCCTCTCAGTGGCATATCATTAATTCTTAGCTGCTTCTCTGGATTGATGGAAGCTGGTGAGTCTGAGTCAGAGTTCCTTCTAGAGTGGTTTTTTTATTATTACATTTTTTTTCCTTCATCGCTGAAGTTGTGCTTTAAAACTTCCCTCTTTCTGCTGGCTCATCCTGTTTTCCTTGGCTTTTGTGGATGTTTATAATAAAGAACAACTGTTCACTGCTTGTTCTTTGATGTATTCAGTTTGAAGTGAAGAGCCTTTATCAAACACTGCCATGCCCACACTGCTGTCTTCTCCAGGAATTGGTATTTAAATATTGTGAGAATAACAAATGTCCAACTCACCTAAATTTAAGACAGTGATGTCTGCAAACATTTTAGCAGAGAAATAAAATAACACACACACACAAACACAAGCATACAAATCTTTGCAAGCCTTGCCTTCAAGAGCAGAAGAAGGAAGAAAACAGAAGTCATCAAATGGTTCCAGAAACAATAATGGGATCCTGTGGAACTAGAAGAATCTATATCAGCTAATTTAAAAAGGGGCTGTGTTCTTCATATACAACTACAAATATCTAAAAACCTCAGAATGGAAGTCATACTAGAAGACTACTCTGCAACTTTGGTCCACTGTAAGGGTTGATTAATACGCCCACACATCAGTGAACATTTCTCTTTATTAGGAGATTTTTTTTGTTCAGGTCTGGCCTCAGCACAATAATGTAGCATTTAGGGAAGAAGATGCAGCCCAGAAGCCCAGCACTGGAGGCTAAGATGGAGAAGATCTCCACAGCTACCATGGATTTTCCTTTGGTGCTCAGATAGGTGGGGGAAAAGGATAACCAAACACTGCAAAAGACAAGCATACTAAAAGTGATTAGCTTGGCTTCGTTGAAACTGTCAGGTAATTTTCTAGCCTGGAAAGCTACAGAGAAGCTCACAATAGCCAGGAAGCCCATGTAACCCAGGACACAGTAGAACATAGTCACAGACCCCTCATTACATTCAAGTACAATTTCTTCAGTCACTGAATTCATGTCAATATCTGGAAATGGAGGATTAATTGCCAGCCATACGGTACAAATAATTCCTTGAACAAGAGAGCAGAGAAGAACAATGGAGTTGGCCACATTTTTGCCTACCCATTTCCTCATGCTACTTCCTGGCTTGGTGGCCATGAAAGCCAAAACCACTGTAATGGTTTTTGCTAACACAGAAGAGACAGCCACTGAGAAGACCATGGCAAATGCAACTTGACGGAAGAGACATCTCACCTTCACAGGACGGCCAATAAACAGCAAAGCACAAGGGAAGCAGAGCAGGAGGGACATTAGGAGAGTATAGGTGAGGCTCCGGTTGTTGGCTTTGACAATAGGAGTGTCGTGGTGCATTATAAAGGCTCCTAGCACTAGAGTAGTGATCAAGGAAAATAAAAGTGCAAAGATGGCTAAACTCATCCCCAAAGGGTCCTTATAAGACAAGAAGGTTATTAGCTTTGGAATGCAGCGATTCTTTACTTTGTTTGGATAATGATCTTTTTGGCACATTGTGCAAAAATCTGCATCTGGAAAAAAAGATGAAAAACTTTTTTAGAAGTTGCTTTTTGCAGTTGAAGCCATTCCTTCTATTTCTACAAATAATCAGGTTCAGGAATAAATTTCCCCTTCTAAAAATCAAATTATGCTGTTGTCTTCCCTTTAAGAAGACAAAAGGGTCTGTGTGTTAATGCACAACTTTCAAAGTAAGTGAATAATAGAACTAACCTATCACTTGGTATCAATGGTATTCTAAGGCAAGCTTTCCCATGACTACTTACTAATGTTTCTACCAAGTTGAATTTAGCAGGTAACAGAGAAATTCGCACTAGCTTTCAGGATGAGGTATCTTTGCCATGCAACCCAAGGGAAGTAATAGCATCACTGTATTCTACCTTGGTCAACCATACCTGGAATACTGTGTCCACAATTTAAGAATGATATTGACAAGTTGGAAAGTGTGCAGAGGAGAGCAACTAAGATGATTGAGGGTCTAGAAACCAAGCCTGATGAGGAATGGTTGAGCATCCCCTCAGGAGACTGAGGGAACATATGATAGTTTTTCTTCAAATATCTAAAGGGCTGTCACATGGAAGATGGAGCAAGCTTGTTTTCTCCTACTACTGAGGGTAGGACTCAAACCAATGGATTCAAATTACAAGAAAGGAGATTCCAACTAAATATCAGGAAGACCTTTCTAACAGTAAAAGTTGTTTGACAGTGGAATGGAGTCCCTTGGAGGGTAATAATAATAATAATAATAATAATAATAATTTATTTATACCCCGCCCATCTGGCTGGGTTTCCCAGCCACTCTAAGCGGCTTCCAACAGAATATTAAAACACAATAGTCTATTAAACATTAAAAGCTTCCCTAAATAGGGCTGCCTTCAGATGTCTTCTAAAAGTCTCCTTCCTTGGAAGTTTTTAAGCAGAGGTTGGATGGCCATCTGTTATGTATGAGCTAGTTGATATTCCTGCAATGCAGGGAGTTGGACCAGATGGCCCTTGAGTTCCCTTCCAACTTTTCAGTTCTATGATTCTACAATTTTGTGATTCAATATGTAGAAGTGCATTTATAGAAATTATTACTAGAATAACCTTGCCTCCATTCCTTATTCTTCCTTCCTAGATCAAAGAACTACAGTGGTACCTCGGGTTACACACGCTTCAGGTTACAGACGCTTTAGGTTACAGACTCTGCTAACCCAGAAATCGTACCTCGGGTTCGTACTTTGCTTCAGGATGAGAACAGAAATCGTGCGGCAGCAACACGGCGGCAGCAGGAGGCCCCATTAGCTAAAGTGGTGCTTCAGGTTAAGAACAGTTTCAGGTTAAGAACGGACCTCCAGAACGAATTAAGTTCTTAACCCGAGGTACCACTGTACTTCCCTTTAAGAAAAGCGCCCAGCATTTTGTATTCAATGATAGATGCATTTCTTTCATTCTTTTGGTTCCTAGGTGAGAAGTACTCATAACTACTGTTTTGAATTAGTTGATATCAGGATTGTTTCCCAGTAATGACTACTATCACCTACTACAAACCACTTTAACTAACAGGACCTTTGTGCCATACTAATGAAGGTGGATTGCTAGATTACACCAGGTACTGCATATTCTACCTTTCTTATGAGAAATCTTCCCTTTTGGACATGGAATACAATCATAGCAGCAAAATGGCTCCCCCTCCTTTTTCTTCTTTTGGTAACCAGGTTGACAGTTATCATTACAGAGTGAAAGGGGCATCACCTATTAGGGAATATGAATAATTAGAATTGAGAATATATATATTTAAAATAGTATGATGACATCACTATGCACAGTATAATCATCAGATTCTGTCATATTAATGCAGGTGCTCATAAGTTGGTGAACTGTCTTGAACTGAGATCTTTAATGGCCAGGCTTTGGCTCTGTGCTGCTAGTATTCTCTGCCTTCATTAATCTAGTCAGACTAGATTCCATAAAAAGTTGAAGTAAAGTACGGATGGAGAAAACTGAGAGTAATTTTGTGGTTTTAAACAATGGCAGATGTTTGAGTATATTGAATACAAACACCATTGGACAAGCTATTCTGCCTTGGTCAGATCACACCTGGATTACTGTGCCAGTTTGGTTGAAGGAGCTGGATATGTTTAGCCTGGCAAAGAGGAGACTGAGAGGAGATATGATAGCTATCTTCAAATATATTAAGGCCTATCACGTGGAAGATGGGGCAAGCTTTTTTTCTCCTGCTTTGGAGGGTAGAACTCAAACCAATGGCTTCAAGTTGTTAGGATATTTCCGTTCCACCTTAAAAGGGAGCAGGCTTTGTGAGTCAGAGTCTGCGTATTTCCTGTTCACAGGATGTTTATGTTTTCTGTTGCTTTCGTTTTCTCTCTGTTGTCGCAGACACTAAAGCAGTCAGTCATGTTTTTCTGTGTTCTGATCAACGCTGAATAAACTTGTAAATAATGCTCTCCTGGGTGCAACTTTTGGCTGTGACTATCTGCTGATAGAGTGTGCATGAGGTCTTGAATGTGGCAAGAAATCTTCTAGAAACTCATGTCGCTAATTGTTGATAATGCGTGACTACGGGAGGTCAATGGATCGTCCGGCAGACGGCTTAGGGGCCTTGATGGACTTTATCTCCTGGCAGTATCCCAACAACAGGTTATCGGGCCCAGATTCACAGCACTTACAGGAGAGTAAGACTGCGACAGACTGCTGAAAGGTATGTGGAGGAAAAGCGAAAGTAAGGCTTTTCTGTTTGCCGAGGCAAGAGCTTTGATGTCCGGCAGGCCTAATTGGTCTGGGCGTCGAGCCCAGCAGGCCTCGAGATTTAATGGGCTGCCGAGATAAGGGGTCTTTGAAGTGAATAAGATTCACGGCTCAAGTAGAAACCTGGGATGGAGTTTTTCCACGCTTCTGAGGCTGCTGAGTGCCCAAAGTTAAATCAGCACAACTATGGGACCTGGGCTGTGTGGTGTGAGAGCTTGCTGCGTCAGTTTGGAGTGTGGCATACTGTGTGTGAGGCCCCTCCAGTTCCCCTGACAGATAGATGGAGGGCCGCTAATTCGAAGGCGATAGACGTAATCGTCTTGTCCGTCTCTCTGGAGGAAATAAAGACGCTTGCTGGCAATCTGACTGCACGAAAGATGTGGCATGCTTTGAAGATAGCCCATCTGCCAGTCATCCCAGCCCAGAGTTTGACTGCATCGGAGGTCCTGGCTGTTTCCCAGAATGCGAGTGAATGCAGGGATGCTGAGGGCACCGGTTGCAAGCTGCAGGGGAGCTGACTGTCACGTCATCCCAGGCAGCATTCCAGCCTCCAGGGGAGCCAAGGAGTCGGCAGCTGAGAGCTCTGTTTCTCGTGGGAGCCAAGGTCATCGCCTTTGCAGAGGCCGGAAGGGCAAAGGTAAACAGAGGCAGACGCCTGCAGATGGCCAGAAGCAGAGGGAGGGTGAAGAGCCCACGCCAGAGGAAAACAAGGTTTTGTTTACTGGCACAGCTTCACCAAAGGCTAAAGGCAAGTCTGATGGCCAGGAGCAGGGGGGCAAGCTGCAAAGCCCACGCCGGTGGAAAACAAGGTTTTGCTTGCTGCAAAGGCTGCTCCAAAGGCCAAAGCCAGGTTTGTTGTTGATTCAGGCTGTACCCGCCATGTCTCAAAGGACCGCCACCTATTTATCTCCTTCAAACCTCAAGAAGGTGAGATCCACCTGGCTGATGGGAAGACGTTGCGAATCGCAGGAGAAGGGACTGTGAAACTGGCAAGTCTGCACACTACCATCAAAGATGTACTGTATGTTCCAGGCGCTGCAGACAATTTGCTCAGTGTCCCACAGCTGACTGGGCGTGGTTTTGAGATTTCCTTCAAGAGGAGCGTCTGTGTCATCAGAAAAGGCAAAGAGGACATTTTGCATGCAAAGTTTATGGATGGCTTGTTCTGTATAACTTATGACGACAATGGTGCTGTTGTGTCTAATGTTGATTCTTGTTGTGTTGCACAAACTAACAAAGTTCTTCATGCAGGATGCATTCACGATGCACATCGAAGGTTTTGCCATCTCTCTTGGAAGGCACTGGCCAAGATGCCAGAGATGGTTGAGGGTTTGAACATCAAACCCTGTAAGTTTCACATGAAATGTGTATCTTGTGCAGAGAACAAGGTGAAGGTTGCTCCAAAAGGCAAGGAGTCTAGCAGGCAGGCTTCCAAACCCTACCAGCTAGTGCACGCAGACCTGGTTGGTCCACTTGCGCCCTCTTTGGGTGGAGCAAGGTACTTCATGGTTCTAATTGATTCTTTTTCCAGGTACATTCATGTGTTTATGCTCGAGCAGAAATCGCAAGCGTTTCCTAAGTTCAAGGCATTCTGTGCTTGGTTGGAGAATGTTCACGGTAAACGTATTGGCTGTTTGTTTACTAATCGAGAGGCTGAATTCACTTCTCGGCAGTTTGAAGCTTTCCTGACTGAGAAGGGAATCCAGCATAGCCTCTCAAGTCCTGGATCTCCATGGGAGATTTGTGAGCAAGCAAAGCAAATGTTGCTGCAAGGACTGAAAACATTGTTGCATGATGCCAATCTCCCTGAGAAGTTTTGGGGGGAGTCTTTGAACTCGTTTGTTTACACTTTTAATCGTAGATTGTCATCACCTATTGGTTGTACTCCCTATGAGAAGATGTTTGGTAAGAAACCCAACATCAAGCACATGAGAATCTTTGGTTCTGACATGTGGGTACACACCCCACAGAGCAACAAGCTTGGGAAGCGTGGGGCACATGGTTTGTTCATGGGGTACGAAAAAGGTTCATACAGGGTATGGATGACTGACTCTAAGTCCATTAAGTTCACAAGGAGTGTTGAGTACAATCCTAAGTGGGGGGAAAATGTGGGAATTTTCCAGAGTTACCCAGAGGAGGATGAAGGTGATGTCAAAGAAGCAGCTAAAGCTGAGGAAGCTGCTGAGGATGATGATGATGAGGATGATGATGATCAGAGTTCGGATTCCAGTTCAGTGGGCGGCGCTGCTGCTGATGTCGGTGACAGTGATGACACAGCAGACTACAAGAGCGCAAAGGCCTCAGTCAGACCATCTGATGCGTCTGACAATGAACTGGAAGAACCACTGTTCACCATTGGTCACTTTTCTCCTAAGAAGGAGGAGATGAGTCCAGAAGACTTGCGTCTAGTACGCAGATCTGAGAGAGCCACGAAGGGCAGACCTCCAAAGAGATTTGCTGATGAGTTTGCTAAGACAGCAACTGCTGTTCTTAGTAGCTCAGAGAAGGTGTGGGAACCTTCAAGCTTCAAAGAGGTTCAGGAGTTAACCTCTAAAGATGCTGAGCCTTGGCTTAATGCCATGAAGGCTGAAGTTGATTCCTTGAACAGGAACCAAACTTGGGAACTGGTACCGGTAGTCCCAGGAATGAGACTGGTTGGCAGCAAATGGGTCTTCAAGGCCAAGACAGACCAGAATGGCAAGGTTGTCAGACACAAAGCCAGATTGGTTGCCAGAGGTTTTTCACAGGTACCAGGACAGGATTACCACGAGACCTACTCACCCACCGTCAAATATGAGAGCATTCGGCTGATGCTCAAGATAGCTGCAGAGGAGAAACTGCATGTTTCCCATCATGACATTAATACAGCTTTTTTGTACGGGATTCTGGGGGAGGAGCTGTTTATGCTTCCACCTGACGGGATGCAGATACAGAAGGGAATGGTCTGTAAACTGCGGAAATCCTTATATGGTCTCAAGCAGAGTGCCAGGTGTTGGAACACGAAACTCACTGAGACATTGCTTTCTCTAGGTTTTCACCAGGGCAAAGCTGATCCATGTGTGTTTGTCAAGGAGGAGGGGCAAAACAAACTGTATTGTTTATGTTTTGTTGATGATCTTCTGATGTTTTGGAAGAATCAGGCTTTCTACCAAAGCACCCTAGCTCAGCTGAAGGAGCACTTTGACATGAAGGATCTTGGTGAGGTATCCAACTATCTTTCTCTGCAGGTGGAGAGGGACCAAGCAGGTAATTTTCTGGTACACCAAACACAGAAAATTGCTGATGTATTAACCAGGTTGAATTTGGTTGATGCAAACCCAGCAGACACACCGATGGTGACAGGTTACCAGGTAGACAGTACTGCTGAAGCGTTTTCTGACACAACGCTGTACAGATGCATTCTAGGCAAGTTGAATTTCATTGCTAGATGCTCAAGACCTGACATAGCTGTAAGCTGTAACCTGCTTAGCAGACATGCTAACAATCCTACTGTTCAGGATTGGAAAGCTCTGAAGCGCATAGCCCGCTATTTGAAAGGGACTATGCACTACAGGCTGAGGTTCACCAGTCAGAAGACTGGAGGTCTTGAAATCTTTGCAGATGCAAGTTTTGGAAGTGACACCACGGATGGTACAAGCACTTCTGGAGTATGCTACATGTACAACCACTGCCTGTTTGACTGGTTGTGCAAGAAGCAGACGACAGTGAGCCTAAGTTCCTGTGAAGCAGAACTCAATGCTCTGTCATTTTCACTCATGGATTGTGAATGGTTGATGCAACTGTTTAAGGACATCAGAGTTTCTGTGAAATGTCCTGTACAAGTGTATCAAGACAATAGATCGTGTTTGGCTTTGCTGAACTCGGAGAGTTGCAAGCAAAGGACCAAGTACTTGCAGATTAAGCTACATCGTGCAAGAGAGTGTATTCAGAAAGGACTCATTCAGGTGTCCTACATGCCAGGAAATGAAATTCCTGCTGATCTGTTGTCTAAGGTTGTTAACAGAGAACAACTTAAGGTTTACGTACAAAGGTTGCAATTGGGTTGAACCACAGGTACTACAGGTTACACGGAAAGGGGAGGATGTTAGGATATTTCCGTTCCACCTTAAAAGGGAGCAGGCTTTGTGAGTCAGAGTCTGCGTATTTCCTGTTCACAGGATGTTTATGTTTTCTGTTGCTTTCGTTTTCTCTCTGTTGTCGCAGACACTAAAGCAGTCAGTCATGTTTTTCTGTGTTCTGATCAACGCTGAATAAACTTGTAAATAATGCTCTCCTGAGTGCAACTTTTGGCTGTGACTATCTGCTGATAGAGTGTGCATGAGCTCTGGAATGTGGCAAGAAATCTTCTAGAAACTCATGTCGCTAATTGTTGATACTGCGTGACTACGGGAGGTCAATGGATCGTCCGGCAGACAGCTTGGGGGCCTTGATGGACTTTATCTCCCTGGCAGTATCCCAACACAAGTTACAAAAAAGGAGATTCTGACTTAACATCAGGAATAACTTTTTTTGTCTTTGACTTTTTGAATCTCAAGTTACTGATAAAATATGTGCAATTTTCAAACATAGCATTAATTAAAAACACATATCTGTGATAAATTTCTATATATTAAATAAACTATACAGGACAATGTTCATATTTTCAGCAGGAAACAGCAGAACAGTGTGCAAGTAAATATTCTTTGGACTATGTAAATCAATCAATATAAACATACTGGGACAAGGACTATAAAAATATTTTATTAAGGAAGCTACAAATGATTGTTTTTCCTCTCCCTCCCTCCTTTTATTTTATGGAAGCTAAAGACTATAGTGATATCCCACCTGGTTAAAACTTCTAGGCCACACAATGGCGCCTTCATCAATGCTCAAATCTTTGCCAGGAGGAGCCCAAGGATTCATTCTTCCAACTTTCATTCTAACAAATGACTTATTGGGAAAAGTAATCAGATTTGTAATATCAAACCCCATTGTCAATTCTCCATTCTCATTCAAATGCACAGTTTCTCCTGCGCTGTTATTAAATGAGATTCTCCTCAGAATAGGATGGAGCTAGGTGGAATGGAAAAATAAATCAATGTTGGAATTGCATCAGTATATGATAAATTGCCTCTACCCTTGCATCTTACCCCAGTCACTTAGCTCTGTACAGTGATATCTTGGTTTACAACCATAATTCATTCTGGAGGTCCGGTTGTGAATCAAAAAAGGTTGTAACCCAAAGAGCACTTTCGCCAATGGGGTCTCCAAAAAGAAAAGGGGGTTGTAATCCAAAAAAATGGGTTGTAATCCAAGAAAAGGGACACACACTTCAGGGTTTGACGTGGTTGTAATCCAAAACGGTTGTAATCCAAAACGGTTGCAAACCATGGTACCACTGTATATGATGATTTATTAATACTGTCAAATATAACCTTTGTTAAAGCATGCTGTGACTCACACATGCTTTTAAATTTGTAGCTAAAGCCCTCCATAATTCTCTTCCTTTAGAATAGAAACAAGCTCTAATAATGTTATGTTTTGACATTTGTTGAAGAAAAAAAAATCTCTACTACCATGCCTTTCCAAGATTTCAGACACTCCAAGTGTCCCTATTTTCCAGGGAAAGTCCCAGATTTATAGAAGACATTCCAATTTCTGATTTAATCCTGGAATGTCCTGCTTTTCCTTAACACATCCCCATTTTCACTGGAGGAATATTGGAGGTTATGGTAGGATGTCCCTATTTCATTGGAGAAATGCTGGAGAGTATGGAGTGACACGCAGCATAAATTAATAACACAGAGTCTTCTTCAGTAAAAAAATAAAAGCTTTACTGAGTTAAAATAAACTTGTTTGCAAATAACAGCATAATGAACAGAAGATTAAACCAGCTTCAGAGCATACACAGAGTTTGCATTGAGCACAGGCTTCACAGAGCACAGACACACACACTGAGACACTGACAGAGTCTGCCTGCAAGCAGATACAATACTTATACAGAGAATGAGTCATCCTCAAGATGAGTCACAGTGATTCAGCATGCTAAGTGATTCTGCAGTGTTTCAGCATTTCACAACATTTCTAGACTCCTTTACTGCTTCCTTTACTGCTTTTGCTCTCAAATACCTTTGTCACATGACATGGAGTTATGCCGCCCCTAAGCCAAGGAGATAAGTAACTATGTAACCTTTAGAAGACATCTGAAGACAACGCTGTGTAAGGAAGTTTTTTAATGTTAAATGTTTTCCTATGTTGGAAGCATATTATTATTATTATTATTATTATTTAGACGTCTCTATTTTCATTAGAGAAATGTTGGAGGGTATGAAACTTCTGCACTTTTAAATTATTCATTTTTTAATGTTTTCATACTTTTTTTTAAAAAAACAAACAAACCCTGAATTATGTGGGTAAATGATGCTCCAGTCAAAAGAAAAAAATCCATTTCATTTTTTAATGTTTTCATACTTTTTTTTAAAAAAAAAAACAAGCAAACCCTGAATTATGTGGGTAAATGATGCTCCAGTCAAAAGAAAAAATTCCATATTTGCTGAGCAAAGGGCTAAGACACATGGAGTTTCCTGTAAATTCCTAGAAGGCATGTTGGGAAGTCATATCCTCTGCTTGCCCAGGCAGGAAGGGTAACAGTAGGAAGATAATCCTTATTAGTTTCACTTGAGGAACAGTATCTTTCTCATCATGCAGCCATAGGGATAGGATGTAGTCATAAGGCTAGGATGTAGGATAGGATATGACTTATTTCACTGCTATTTTCTTTTTTAATTGAGTCTGCAACGTTATGGAAGTGATCAATATTTTTTTACATTCTTACAATAAGGCTTCTGTGTTGTTATTTTATTTATAGTATTAACATCTGAAGCGAATCGGGTTAGTGAAGGCTGCATTAAGATCTTGTGCTGCCGTGCTGAAGTCAGTTGAACAGAATGGTTTGAAAACTACTACCTTCCATGGCTGCATGTCTTTATGTTGTAGCTTCCTTCTTTCCACCATTGCTTTGGATTTGGATGGGTACATGGCATGTACAGAATTTGCCAGAGCCTGTACAGCATTGTAGATACTGTAACTGTGGCCAGTCATGCTCATTTCAAAGAAAGGCCCAGGAAGATTCTGCAGCCTCTCTTCTCCAGTACAAGTGTCCACATCATCTCCATTAAAATGGGAATTTGGAAATGAACAGTCGAATGCTTGCTCCCAGAATGGTTGGATAAAACCATTTCCCTTCATCAAATGAGGATTTAGCTTTTGAAGAAAATTTTGGAACCCTGGCACCTCATGTGAGTGGGTTGTGAAGGCTAAGGCACCATGGAAGGCTTCTATATCCCAATCCTTGTGCATGGATATGGCTACAAGGTCCATCTGGGCTACCATAATCCACACTTTACCAAATGATTTCCCATACTCAGATTCTCCTTCATGCAGCAGTCCTCTCAATGTTATCATGGTCAAAGCTTCTCCATAGAGAATAATGGTGTTGGCTTTACTTTTCATAACATCTACAAATATTTTTCCCCACTTTCCTTGGAAATTTAAGATGTCACCAAAAAATCCTTTTGAGGGAATTTTCTCAGTGAAGGCAGCACAGATGCTGTTCTGAGAAAGTATTGGTAGTAGGTTGCTCAAAAATAATTCTCCATTTTCCTCATCCATGGTCATTAGACCCACCCAAATCCATTTGAAATGCAGAAGTAGCTGGACAATTCCCTTGTACTGGTGGATTTCATTTGGAGCCATTCGATACAAGGACAGTGAATGAGAGTGATCCCTCAGCATGGGGACAAAATCACCATAGGTGAACTAAAATGGGGGGAAATTCAGGAAGTTGTGTTACAAATTTATTTGGAAACCTATAGATGTGTTAGTGCAATTTTATGGATACTGAACATTCTGTTTAAAATTAATATAAGATGTGAGTTGCTTGTGAAAACTTCTCAGAATCTTCATTCAATGCAAAATGCTCCTCTACACCTTAAGTAGCAGATTTAGAGAGACGTGCAGAATTTAGCAGCCAGGTTGCTCCAAAGAAGCAAGGTGGTTCAAGCATATAACACTAATCATGGCCTGGCTGCCAATTAGTTTCTGGGCCCAATTCAAAGTGCTTGTTTTGACTTATAAAACTTTAAATTGCTCAGGACCACAATACCTCAATACATTCCCTTATGAACCAACCAAACCCTGTGATCATCACCTGAGCCTATTATCTTTGTGCCCCCTCCATGAGAGGTCCAGACGGTGGCAATCTAAGAATGGCCCTTTTCTGCAGTGGCTTTCCCTTTGTGGAATGTTCTTCCCAGGCACTTTCATTACACATATTTAGGGGCCAGGTGAAAATATTCCTCTATAACCAGGCATTTGGCTGATTAGACAATATATGGCCTTTTAAATGTTTTCATGGAAATAGAGTTATTGGTGCTTTCTTTCTTTCTTTTCTTTTTCTTTTTGCTGTAAACTTCCCTGTGATCTTTGGATGAAGGGTGTTATAAAAATTAAATATAGTGGTACCTTGGTTTAAGAACAGCTTAGTTTATGAACAACTTGGATTAAGAACGCTGCAAACCCAGAAGTAGGTGTTTTGGTTTGTGAACTTTGCCTTGGAATAAGAACATGTTTTGCTTCCTGTTGAGTGTGTTCCATTTGTAAATTGAGTCCCCCGCTGCTATGGGAAAGCACACCTTGCTTTAAGAATGGACTTCTGGAGTGGATTAAGTTCGTAAACCAAGGTACCACTGTACTGGCTAAGATATCAATGTTTGTGTCACAGTCATTTCAATGGAATATACACCTGCACAAGCAACCATACAACACACTCCAAGAAAAGGCAAATAATGCATCACAATTCTGAAAACTCAGTGTTCCAAGAGCACATCATACCTGTGGAAACTTGTAGATGTCCAAGATGGCAGCCAAATGGTAGGAGGTTTCAGCGCCTAGTCCTCCTATGACTCCTATTAGGCTGTTCTGGACATCACAGCTATAATTGGGAACAAATTTGTAATGTGTGGAGAAAAGCTCCACTGCTATGTGATAACTCCGCTTCTGACTGAAGTAGCTCTCAGGGATGTGGAATCCCAAGGAAACATTAGGCAAAATCTTGGGATTTTCATTAATTTCATTTACAGCAAACACCAAGGCCAGGACATGCTGGTAGTTCTTTGTCACAACACTGGAAAAAAGTTAGATGATAGGTCACCAGAAAATTTAACAATAAGTAAAGTTGCTTGGTAGCTGTCCTGCTGAATCAATAACATGTGAGTTACCGTATTTTTTGCTCTATAAGACTCACTTTTTCCCTCCTAAAAAGTAAGGGGAAATGTGTGTGCGTCTTATGGAGTGAATGCAGGCTGCACAGCTATCACAGAAGCCAGAACAGCGAAAGGGATTGCTGCTTTCACTGCGCAGCGATCCCTCTTGCTGTTCTGGCTTCTGAGGTTCAGAATATTTTTTTTCTTGTTTTCTTCCTCCAAAAACTAGGTGCGTCTTGTGGTCTGGTGCATCTTATAGAGCGAAAAATACGGTAGTTGATAGACTACTGAGAGGATTACAAATTTGCAGAACCACACAGAACTGCAATATGTAGAACGTCATAGTCTGTATATATTATTACATCCTGATCCTAAGGCACTATATTTGGCATTGTGGGATTATAGCACTTCAATTTAAAAGTCATTTTAGAATGGTCAGATTATATGTGAGATTCAATAAATCCTTTGTAGTTTCACAAACCTTTTAAAAATGATTTATATCACCTTTTCAAATACCCTATGAGTATCAGCCCCTCCAGTGTCTATTGATAAACATTCACACATGTGCTACCAATTCCTTTAAGGGTGCTGATAGTTTATCCTCAGTTGACAACCTTTGGCATATAAGAGAAAAACAAAAGATCCTTACATGGGAATGCTAATATCAGCAGAAGGAGGGTATTCAGTGAAGGAAAATGAATCCAAAAACAGTAGCATCTGAGAGACAGCCACACCAATTATGAGGTCACCTGACTTATAATACTTATGAGGAGTATAGATGGGGTCATGGATGACACATCTTGCAGCGTGCTCCTGGAACTCATTGTGAGGTATCTGCAACAGCATTAGAAACATTTCCAGTAACACTCTCCCAATTATAGTCATTCCCCTCTCAGTGCAGATGCCAGATTTTCCACCTTCAGTCATAACAACAGGTATGTATAGCAGTCTGGCTTGAAAAGCAGCAGCCTCTGCTGATGCAGTATTTGGAACCTGTATCCTCTATCTACATACATATACCAGAAAACTATATGGAACTGGAGTATGCTGGAGCCTGGGTCCTTAGCTCCAGTTTTGAACACCAAGCATGGTTTTTAAAAACATAGCTTGGCCTTTGTTAGTGTTTTATTATGATTCAGATTCTGGAAACCAGGAGGTGGCTTGGTCAAAGGGAGAAAAATATGGCACATCTCAGAGACCTTAATGACAATCACAATGTATGCAATTGAGAATGGCAAAACCTGTAATTAGCCTCCCCCAAGGATCCAGGTGACATTCTGTTCAACATACTTCCTGGAGAAAGAAAACATGTTGGCCAAAATAGCCACAACTTTCCCTGTGTTCCTAACGGTAGCTGAATTTCTGCTACTTTCTAGACATGGCTGGGCAAGCAGATTACACAAAATGTTCAGGAGAGGCTTGCCCCTTATCCTACTGCAATGGTGAGAAACTGAATCTGGCCAGTGGAATGGACCCATACCCATACCCATACCCATACCCTTGCAGGCCAACTTTGACAGGGGCCACCCATATGTCAATCACCTGACATCATAACAATGCCATGTGGCAATTTCAAAGGATCAGCTGAAAACAGACCTTCACAGGAGCTCAAAAATGGTGCTGACAACCTGCCTTGGATGCTCTAAGAGTTCCCTAACTAATGAATGTTCAGGGAGAGGGGAGTTTTTAAGGTTTTTCTTAGCACAGCTCTACTTCTTTGAGGCAGCAATCCTAACTGCACTTATCTGAGAGCCACTGAATTGAATAAGACGAACTTCTGAATAGACATGGTTTGGGTTTTTCTGTAATTCTTATAAGTGACGGTGCAGAGAAAAGATAGTGCTCCAGTGGCTGCTATTTATTATTTTGACAATTTATATACCACTTAATTACAACTGTCTCTGAGCAGTATATAATAGACTCGGCATAATGTTTCCCTGTTGATCTGGTAGTGATTTGATGTCCATCAGTGCTGCTGCTGGAAATACAGGCAACTCCTCATATGCACATGATTTATTTGTGTTACTGTGCACACTCATGGTGCCGGAAACCTGGAACTGGAACCTAGAAGTGGGATGCACCCTGGAGAGTCCTCCTGGCTTTCTTGGGTGGTGCTTTGTTGAAGCTGCTCACCTTCTCACCTAACAGCTAATGTGTGGGGTAGTGCATCAGCTGTCACCACTGCTGCCGCCACTCCCCCACACATCAGCTGAGCAGCCTCAGCAAAGCCCCACTGCCCCTACATTCTCTTTGGGCTCTGGGAGCCAGAGGTGCAGAGGGGCTTTGTCAGCTGATGCATGGGGAAGTAGTGGTGGCTGATACATTACCTTGCACATCTGCTGTTAGCAAAGGAGGCTGACTAGCCTCTTTGGGCTCTGGGGAAGGTCTCCTCGTGAGCTACTAGGACTCTCCAGGGTGCTCCCCATCTTCGTGCATTTCACTGACGTGTGGTGAGGCCCGGAATGTAACCCGTACATAAATCTTGAATGGGAAAAGTGGGGAGGGGGATAAAGGACATCCTCAATAAAATCTTTGGAATCAAATTAACAAAGTTAATAAATTTTCTGAGTCACACTTTAATTCTGGAGATTTGGATCAGGAGAATCACTTCAGAATGTGGGCCCAATGAATATGGATCCTTAAGAGTCAAGAAAATTGAAAGAGCTGGGCTTTAAATTTCACAAAAGACCCCTTATTTCTTTTTATTTATTGCATTTATTTTCCACCTTTTTTTCTCCAAGGAGCTCAAGGTGGTGTACATGGTTCTCCCCATTCCTCATTCAATCCCCACAACAACCTTGTGAGGTAGGTTAGGTTGAGAGACAATGCCTGGCTAAGGTCAACCTGTGAGCTTCATGGATGAAGGGGGAGTTAAACCCTGGTATTCCAGGTCAGAGATAGAAACTTTAAGAACAGCGCCACACTGCAAAATTCCCATGCAAAATCACAAAAAAGTGTCAGTGAAAATATTGATGGGCTGTGACTCGGCAGCATGTGTCAAGGCTAACAGTTACCTAGTGTCCACATGAATCAATGGACATTGGGAAATATTTAACAGAACAAATAAATTGTTTAGCCTTTTCTCATAATTAGCTGAACTCTTTTGTTCTGGCTTGAGGACAATAATGTATAATTTAGGGAGGAAGATGCAACCCAGCAGCCCAGCACTGGAGACCAAAATAGAAAAGATCTCCACAGCCACCATTTATTTTCCCTTGGTGCTCAGGTAGGTTGGGACAAAGGATAACCAAACACTGCAAAAGACCAGCATGCTGAAAGTGATCAGCTTGGCTTCATTGAAACTGTCTGGTAACTTCCTGGCCTGGAAAGCCACAGTGAAGCTCACAAAAGCCAAGAAGCTCATATAACCCAGGACACAATAAAACATAGTCACAGACCCCTCGTTACATTCAAGTGCAATTTCTTCAGCTACTGAGTTCATATCACTATCTGGGAAAGAGGGAGAGGTGAGCAACCATGCAGTGCAAATGCCTGCTTGAATAAGAGAACAATGGAGTTGGCCACTCTTTTCCCCACCCATCTTCTCATGCTGCT